GCTGCACAGGAAGAGACTGCTTGTAGTGGAAAGGTTTTGTTGGAGCACAGATTTAATCTGAAAATGTCAGATTTAGAAAAAGGTTGAGTAGTGAACAAAGATGGAAAAGAAATGTCAGATATCTGCTCACATTGCTGTTGACGGGTGAGAGCATGATGGTTTTTCTCTCTGCCTACAGCGCGCTCCTTGAAGTTTGGCCGCCAGACTGGAGGTGAAGATGCAGATGGAGCTTCTGGTTATGATGCCTACTGGAAGAACCTCTCCTCCAGCAAGGCTGGAGATGCAGGTGATCGTGATGATGAATACAACGAATATGAAGCAGAAGATGACGATGAAGATGATGATGGAGGAGGGAAGGATTCTGATACAGAGACCACAGATGTATTTGGCAATTTGAGTTTAGGGAGGACTTATGCTAGTGGGTATGCACATTATGAAGAACCTGAAGATTAATTTGAGTATGCTAGTGAGCTAGAGCCTTTGGAGAGGTTGCACCGAGCAGATGCATCATTGCTGAGTTGTATACATGCCAGTAGGATAATTCTATCAGGTACTTAACATATCAGAGGTTGACCATAAAGTCTGGGACATCTATAGTAACTGTAGGTGAGATTTGTTGATATAAACCATTATTGGGTTTTGAACTTGGGGGAGAAAATGTTGGGGGAATATTTTTATTCCCCTGACCACCTGAAGTGTTGTCTTTCAGTTACTGAGTGTAACGGTTTAACGCCTTGTTTCCATTTATGCATCAGAAATTAAGTTATTTTTACAGTACTTGTTAACTAACTTCGTAAAATCCGTGTATTGTTGGGCTGCAGACTGCATTTTTGGGGGCCAGCGCAATAAAAGTCAACTGCATTCTCAAATGAGTTGTCTCTAAATACTGATGTCTCTAAATAGTTGGAAAGCAGGTTGTAACAAAGTGTAAGCTGAAATTTAAAGTAACTTTGTAGTTTATGTAGGTAAGGCAAATCAGTGTGCTTCTCTAGTTACTTGAACATTATCTTTCTGGTAGTTTTTAGTACAAGAAAGAAATCAATGGGGTTAATTTGAAATCATTACAAGCGCTCCCCAGATAATCAAAAGTTTTTCTGCAACACGAGTGTTGGTGCCACTGAAGTCTGCACAATTTCTCATTAGATGAAAAGGAGACTGCTTTATTCTGTGCGTAGCATTCAGCTCACTTTCTTGCACATAGTATGAAAGAAATGGGAAACAAACCCCATGTATGAATTGATAAGCTGAAAACACAAGTGTCCGTGGTTCTGTGCAGATGTACAAGACAAGTCATCGGCATGCCTGAGCTGAGGTGGCAATGCTTGCACAAGTGTTTAAAATGATTCTAATTTCTAAGGCAGCGTACTCACTTTTAGTTTCCTCCTGCAGGGGAACACTGAGAAGATAGTGACTTTAACAGCAGACAGATCAAGAAGATAAAAAGGCAGCTATCTAAAGCATTACTCCAGTTTCCTAAATGCCATGCTTGAGCGCAAAGGAACTGGTCCTTGCAATCTGTCAAACATCTGAACCAACAACAGAATGATCTACTCTTATACTTTCTCTGTTGTTTCTCACTCAAACAGCTAAGGTCGTGGCTTGATAGAGCATATCCTACTGAGGATAATTTTTAATGTTACGATTGCCAAATGAGTGTTTCCTAACAAAGCAGTACTGAGGAATCTGGCCCTCACACTGAATGCATAAAAGACGTGAGTTGGAGTGCATTCGAAAGAAAAACAAACTGACAAACAAGGCAACTTGTTTATGACAACTGAAAGAATACAAACTGCGTTAGGGAGGGAGCAACAGATCACTGTTTTTTAAGTGCTTGCCTTCAGAAGCTGAGAGGAAACAAATACAGTGCCTAAAAGCCAGCTCCTCTTCAGAAAAATGACAGCTAGGTTTATATACTAGCAAAGACCTGCCCGTCTTGTATTCTGTACCTGACAGGGGGCTTGATTAGTCTTGGCTGCATAACCAAAGTTGAAGAGATGGAAACAGGACGCTTGCTAGTCCAGCAGCACTTACCAGTTTGTGAAACTGGCACCTGAGATAGAGTTTGTGATCAGCTTTATGTGGTCCAAAAACTTCCACAGTTGAGTCCATCTGCCAGTGGTCAGTTCCAGAAACAATCACTTTTTAGCTTGGCTAATATATCAAATACAAAATAATCTTACGTCACTGCAATGTCTTATATAGGACCAAGAAACAAACATGCCTTTCTGAATGTATTTAATTTATAGCTGCTTGTGTGCAATTTGTTAATATCATTGCTTAACTGCACAAAATTCCATTTTAATGTTCTTGGCTCCGGAATTAGGTTTTTTCCCCATATGAAATCTGTTGCTGTCATTGGCTCTGCCAAAGGCTGCTGACGTAACAGAATTAATCACCATAATCAGAGTAAAGAATTATTAATTTTCTCATTGAAGTGCCCTTTCTGTGCCAGTTTTTTGAGATCAATCCTCCGGAGTTAATGCATGTTCCTATCATTCTGCAGTAAGAGAAGGCCGCGGCACAGATGCTCAGGATACCCGCTGTAATTTAGCAAGGTCACCGCTCAGTGGACAGAGGCATTTATTTGCAGTTTGTCTTCGGACTGCTCTTCATACCACTATACTATGAACCAGACTGGAAACAGAGCCGAGGTATTAGAACTGTGGTAGTTGGCCTTTGAAGGATCAGAACAAGCCGTTGTAAGCTGCTTTAAAGTAATCCGGTAGATTCAAGGTGGAAGAGACAAAAACAACTGCATTTTGTACTGAGGGGGTTGGTCATTCACAATGGTACAGGCAGGATGTGATGTTACAGGTTGCACTTTTTCGTCCTCATCTGTTTATTCAGTAAGGTTTAAGAGCACGGGAATAAGCACTTAGAGCTAAATTTCACAGAACTGCATCATTTTAGTTTGCAGCTAAAAATACTGTACTATTTATTGTGCCCGTGGTCCCTGAAAAAAAACAAGAGTTCTGGTCACCTCTGTAAGCTCCTTTCTGGCATTACAGTGTGTTACAATGGTGACATCGCCAGCTCTGGGAGTCGTTTGGTCAATCCTGTTGTAGTTACTGGTTTTGTTTCCAGCAAGTTGATGTGACGATCATTGTAATGTACCAAACAGTTTCAATTGCCAGCTGAAGAGACAGCAGCAGGCATGCTGCGGAGAACCAGAGGATGACATTTGCAAGTGCTTGAAGTCCTATCTCTTGAGCCAGCCTAATCAAGGTCCTGAGCCCATTTCTGGAGAAGCCAATGGCCAAGCTCCCATTTATTCAAGCGGGAGCAATTTAATACTCTTCAGTACGTCAAGTTCATCTTAAATTGCCAACAGGTGACAAGGAACAAAGCACAAGGATAAGCTTAAATGGAGAAGATGGAACAAAGCTTAACATGAGATCTATGTGCTATCATCACATAAACCTGTGAGTCGTAAGCTTTAACTGTTCTAATGAGGTGTTTTAAAGATTGAAGGAGGAAGCTGTTTGAAGCCAGAAGAGGTAGAATTCTGCGAAGTATTTAACAAGATGTGAAAATGTAATTATTCATCTCCTGAAAGTCTACGGGTAGCCAATAAATATTTGCTAAAAGCTCAGGGCAATTAGGGGACAGACAAATTTTATCATCTCTGCTTTGTAGGTATGTAAATAGAAAACACAGTAATTAACAAAATCACAGCCTGAGTGATCCAGTTGGCAACAGCCCTCAGCAGCTTGGCCTCTCCATCTCATACCAGGGAAACTCTAGAGTAAATATATTTTATAGCTAATGACACTTCTTCATTAAGTTTACACGTACTGTAATTAGCTACCATACATCTGAAATTTGAAGCAGAGTCTAGTTTTCTCTTTTAGCTTCCATAGTCAAAATAGCCATAAAAAAAAAATAAAAACCAAGAGAATGTCACAGACATGAGAATCATTCCATGAAAAAGCCATAGGTTTCCCTTTGCTGAATGAATGATGGGCTTACAAAGCCTGTTCTTTATCTTCTGCAGCTATTTGCTTGATTAAATACTGATGCAATTTGGAGGAAAAACAGAATTTCATTTCAACCTCTCACCAGATGAAGCTGCCCATAAAAACCCAGCTTTGATGTTTGTTTACAGCAATCCTATTTTTAAGTATCTTTTTTTTTTTTTTTTTTTTTAAGAAAAACATCTGTGATCCTTTTGTAGCTATCTCTATCCCCCCCGTTCTTCAACACTGAAATGTTTGCTACATTCTTTTTAAGCCCAGTTTTGGAGCCATACAGTGATTTTTCCAAAGGATTCCCCAGCCTTAACAGGCGTTGGAAATTCATTTCAGTTTCCTTCTGAAATGATAAATACTGAGTGCTTACAAGCTTAAGTATCATTCTGATTTCACCATGATGTTACATGACACCTTCTCAAGCTTCTAAGATTGATTTTCACTTTACAGAAGTAATAAGTAAATTTTATTTTTAATTTTTTTTGGAGAACTAGAATACCAAAGACCTGTCAGATTTCTTCAAGAAGGAATACAAACATTTTGCTGCTACAGCTGCTCAATGGTCTTCCTGCTATTTTATTTTTGGCACTAAGAAGTTCATTCTCTTGAAAGACCATCACTGTTAGTCGGGCAGGTAACCCTTGGGCTGCCTGCAGCCCGATTTGAGTTCAGCACTTGATTTGCATAGCAAAGACAATGACGAGCCCCTTTGAGATTTTCCCATCAGCAGGAGAGACGTACAAGGTCCTCAGCCTTGATGTCAGCATCCATTTGAAATGCTGTGCTCTTCTGCCAGTTCAAGATGGTAACAACTGAAATGTGACCTTACACTAGATTGCTTTGGAACCCAGCAGAAATTCAAATCCTGCAGCCTGTACAAGCCTTGAAATGTATCTTAGGTGGAAAAGCAACTCCTACTAAGGTGAATCCCATAAAGTTGGTATTTTGCCCTGGGGACAACAGACTGCATCTGCAACTGTATACAAAGTATTTATCATTACTTCTCCCTTACTAAAACAAATGAACAAAATCTATTGAGCATAGCTTTAAGTGAGAAAAAGAGACAGCATCAAAAAAAGTAAATAAAGATGTAAGAATATCAACAGCTGAAAACCAAAGGCGTGTTGAGCACATTGGAACAGAGGGTTGCAGAAACAATACCATATGCTCACAAACAGCTTCTCCTGCACCATCCTCTTAAGTCTAGAAGCACAGGCCAAAGAGGCATTATACAGAGTTTAACCTTGGGGCTTATGTTTGCCAAAGCACTATCAGTTCCAAGGGAAGTTCACAGGAAGCACAAAAGCACAGTATTTTAAGGGACATTTAGCACATACAAGCACCATGACTGGACTTGAAACATAAGGAATAATTTGGAAGCTAGATGATAAATTACACTCCTTGCATATTTCCCCTGCTTGCTTGACATGACATATATTTCAAAGTAAGATCCCATCACGACATTTACATACCAATGCTGCACAAACATACTCCTCTGATCTGCCACAAGAAATGATTCCCAACCAGATAGTGCCAGCATAAATCATAGAAGGTACCTCCTGAGTTTATCACACTTTTAAAAGAATACTCTTCTTTTGTCAAACACTTCACAGAGCCACCGGGACATTCACAGTTTAAGAAACCTTTCCAGCAAAGGACATATCTGACCTTAGCTTAAGTTAGTATGTTCTAGTCAGCAGAGTGGACCCATGCCCAAACAGTGCTGGTACTAGAATGCAAATGCACACCTACCATTCCCTGGACTCCTACATGGCTGCTGCACCACAAAATGCTCAGATCTCACCCCAAGCTCAGCCATAGCACTGCAAGATGCAGAAACAGGAACCTCACATGGCCCAGAGTAGCCACCCTTAAAAGCATGAGAGCTTACACTCATGGAAAACTTTACCACCAGCTTTCCCCCCACCTCCCCATGCCTGCAAAGCACCTTTGCTCATTGCCACTTGTAGAGAGTTACACCAGCACTTACCCCTGGGGAAAACAGCTCTGGAACAGGACCTCACATAATGCTCCTCTGCATCAGAGAACTCTCAGGGCTTCCTAATGCCCTGCTCCCACTGTTTATAACCTTCCTCCTCACCTGCTTCCTCAGGGCCTGCTCTGATAGGCAAGCTGAGCAATGTCTCTCTGCAGCTTGTCTCCAGCATCAGCAAGCCCTGTAATTACCCCAGCCTACTTACTTTCTTACATTGTATCTAAAACGAATTTGCAAATTATACATATTTTCTACTGACCCTAGATGGTGATTCAGGAAAATACTAATACTTGTTACAGTGCCTTCATAATATATTAATGTGACTATCTCAGAACCAAAGTGTAACCTCATGGTCTTTTATATGCTGTAATTTGTCTTTGGGAGTTGAAAAAAACATCACAGCTGTATCAAAGTATTAAGAGCAAAAATGAACCACAGCGCATACAATGCCACTTAAACACGTCCAAAAATCTTTGCCTCATTGGAGATTTTTGGTTCTCGTGTGCTCAGTTTGCTCCCAGCTTTATACAGAACGTTAAAAGGTCTTCCCACTTGCTCTGTTGCTGGCCTCGTAAGCTGCAGCCCAGCAGGGGAGCACATCCTGGGGTGACAGATGCTTCTGGAGCTGACGGAGAAGTGCCATTCGTACCAATCAGTGATCTGACCCACGAAGCTGCAGGACGTGCAATTCTTTTTCCAGCCAAGCTCAGCTCCTTTGGTGAAATATCCTGAAGTGAAAACAAAAGCCAAATGATCTGTTGTGCTCTTTACTGGAGTAATTACAGTGTTGGCATTTTGAGGTATATGGAATGCTGTCAAACTAAATTTAATAAACCATGTAAAGGATGGGTATTGTGTAGATTTTCCTGAATCTGCTTATTCCAGCCACCAGCTCCCTGCTGTATGAAACTCCATGGGCTGTTATACTCATCCCAGTCCTTTCACCTCCTGGTAAAAACCCCACTGCCACCTACTCCCTGTTAGATTACCTTGAATTGAAGCTTGATACCCAGGAAGCATTGACTGTGCTAGGATGAAGCCATGAAGTTTGTAGGCTGAGTAAGTGTGGTCTTCAGACACTTTGGCTAAGCTTGTGGGAGTTCCTGGGGTTGTTTGTTGGCTGCCAGCTGTGGGGTTCAGTCATCTGTAGGCTACACCTGGGGATCACACCTTTGTTTTCCCCTTTCTTACATGTCAGTGCTCCTTCTGGCACCAATACTGATCATTTAGTGCTTCAGATTTTGATGTCCTGTGGGTTGATTTTGCAGCATGGGAAGTGACAGAGAGCCCAAGAATAATTTGCTTTTATTTACACATCACTGGCAGCTGGGAGCAGCAGAAGGCAATTCCTAGCTCAGCAGTCTCAGCCCAGCACCAGTGCCTGATTTCCAGGGAGCCATTTCTGCCTGAAGAATTGAGTCTAATGAAGGCCCAAGGCAGAGAACACACACTCCCACTGCTTGCAAAACCGTCTTCTCCCTCAAGCAATGCCTCCCTGCACAGAGCCTAGCAGACCAAAGCTAGTGGCACCCTATGTCCCTATGTGAAACTAAATAGAAAGAGCATTACAGAAAGCCTTTTGCATGCTTTGTTTTCCCTGTAACAAACAACAGAATTTCTCAGCTCCTGAAATACAAAAATACTGAATATTTGCAGAGATAGTATTAGTGGTTATGGGCTAAAGAAACCCTAATTTAAGGTTCTGGACAGATTGCCTTTTTGTTTAGTGTAGGGAATAAGCAAAGGATAACCACCCACCCATCCTTTAAACAAAGGGAACAGTGCAATCACAGTGCTGAGACACAGTGTTGTCTTCCAGCAGTTACTGCTCAAACAACAAAATACATCTCTTCTAAGTGACCAATCTTAAAAAAGGTTTTCCAAACTCAGCTTTCACAAACAGTGAGAGACCTCCAGTGCCATCTCCATGATGCTTCTGGTACCCTAGCTGAGCTGTTTGCTTTTGCAACCATGCTCTGCAGGGAAAAGCAAATTGATGCAATGCTTGACTGAAGGAAGGCCTTTTTGGAAGACTGAGCAGAGGTGGCAGGGGGAGGATTTCCCAGGTCTGCTGTATATGTTGAGGTGTGAGAATTGTATGCCTTCCACAATTGTTCAGATTAATCCTGAGATATGACTGCACCAGATCCCTGCTCTTTGTTCTTATTCCCACCACGAACACAGACATTTTTAATTTCACTCTTGCGTTATGTTAGCCACCATGAATTTTTCTGTCATGGCCAAAAGGGTGAAGGTGTTTTTCCACCTGTGCCTGCAAGCCATACAAACTCGAGCCTTTGGTATAAATAAACCTGAGCGACAAGATCCAGCAGATCTGCAGAATTTTCTGCCTTTACCACCATTGCTAATCCACACGCTATGGAGTTATCAGCGTAAGACTAATAAAGCAGAGAGTTCTATAAAAGTGGCAAGTGAGTCATTGCAATTGCTTCAGGCAGTGTAACCTACTTCTGCATTCAGACACAGATGGGAAAGATTTATTCATTGTCTCCATTTTAGGTGCCTGGAAAGAAAGGCAAAGCACAAAAGGAATCTTGCTTCCTCTCCAGTTTGTCCTCCCCTTCAACCCCAGCAGCAAAAAATAACAAATCAGTTTCCTTTAAAGGAGAGGGATGTCAATGGGACTGCACTGCAAGGCGAAATAGAACTTCATTAACTAAAATTATGTTGCAGTTTAAGGGGGAAGCATAACAGTCTAAAGACATTGTGAATTTCAGAAACCCGGAATATAATCATTTTAAGATATATTTCATATTTATTAGATCAGGAAAATGTGTTACTTTAGAGATAAGGCAAAAGTTTTCATAGTGAGAGATGTTTTCTGGCCTCCCTCTGTTCTAAGTAATGTAGCACCCAAGGGTTCTGCTTGTTTATTAAAGGCATCTGGTTTATTTCCAGAATAAAAATAAAAAACAAACAAAAAAAAACCCACCTTATCAAAATGTATGGCAGAACTGAAAGGACAGGGTTATTTAAGTGTGTGCAATGGCTGGGCTCTGGCCCTCCCCTCTCTGAACGTGGCTGTTGCTCACACTGGCAGCTGAGCTAACTCCTAGAGCTTTACTGAGTGAGAGGCGTGGAATGTATCTGCTGTGCAGTTCACAAGTCTGGTTTTAGCTTGTGCAAACAAACCTGAACGAGCTGTAAAGCAGGATCAAAACGACCTAAAGCCGCTGGATGAGCTCTCAGCTGCCTGAGCCCAAAGTGCCCCAGCAGTAGGCAGAAACCAGGCCAGGTAGTGGGACACGCTTTGGGTACATCTGTATGGGGCAGCATGGGCCCGAGGTGCCCAAGATCTGATAGGGTTCTGACTTGTGTATGTTGCTGCTTTCTGCCCCAAACCTTACCCAACTGGATTCTAAGAAATTGTGTTATTTGCCTGGCATATTTGAGTACCCACTGTATCTGTCACCAATGGAAGGTGCAGTGCTTCTGCACACAGATCGTGTCGTGCACGGTAAGGCAAACACTGTCAACACCTGAACTGATGTTGTAAGGCTGCAACCGTGACTTCTTGACCTACTCACAGCAGGAAAGGAAGCCTTGGCCAGAAGAGACCAAGCCAGACTGGATATGCTGTGCTTCAGCACCAGCAGGAGAGGAGACCAGAATGCCACACCCCGGGAACATCAATCTTAGAGCAGGAGCCACACGATTGCCCTCCAGGAGTGCTTTGAACACATCAGATTTTGCAAGCATCATACTTACCGTGCCTGTAACGTGGTGATCACCTGGGTCAGTGCCCAGCTGAGGCACACTAATCTTAACAAGCTCCTTGCTATGCTTGGGTAAGACTCCTTACTAGGGCAAAACTCCTGATCCAGCATATCTTTTCTTGAATATACAGTGAAGAGAGAGTCCATACTCTGGGCAACTGCTGCTTAAAAATTCATCTTGTTTTTCAAATCCCAGTATGTCCAGTGTGGAGGGAAAGGCAGAGAGGTACCTAACAGTCTTCAGATGTGTTTCAATTCCCTTGTCATTTCATGAAACCTGAAGCCAGAATACTATGAAAAGTGCATTTGAGGTTTGAGTTTTCTTTCTTTTCAACAGCTCACTGCCTGCTTTTTATGTTTACTGAGCTTTTGGCTGTAAAAATATAGCTGCAGCACACGGTTGAGAGATTTTTCTCATTCTGCAGTCTCTGTCACAAAGGAATTCCTCCTCCAGACTCCTTTGCCTTCCATTCTGAGCTCCTCAGAGACCTCTGGTGCCATCCCTGGCAGCAGATCAAGGGGAAACAGCTTCAGTAGAACCTCTCATTTTACCAACAAAATATCATTGATCAACCATGTTCAGTGCCGGCAGCTTTTTGAATCTGGCGTTTTTTAATGCTCAGCTTCTGCTTTCATTCAAGTTTTAGGTATCCTATGTAAAGAAAGCCTCCTGAGAGGTTGGGGTTTTTTTCTTCTTTTTTTCTGTTGTTGTTCCATCCTCTGAGTTGAATTTGAAACAAAAACCTGCAGCTGAGTAGCCCTGAAAACATCAGTCCAAATCCATTTCAGGCCAAGCCTGGCAGGCCCTTTTCCTGCCCTTCAAGTCTGTAGGGAAGGCAGAAGAAAATATGCTGAAGCACCAGCTGAACAGTTGAACACCTGGCAGAGAGAGCTGCTCTGCTCAGAAGAGCAGCCACAGCACAGGCAGTCAACAGCTGCAGGAGAAAGGCAGTGACATCAGGATGCACTCCATTGAAAACTGGTAATTGATCTGTTCTGCCAGGACAGACTGAAACACCATGCTTCTGTGCTGGAGCTGCAAGCAAAGTGGGAATGACTGACTGTTAGAAATGCCATTTGCAGAATACCAATGCAGTGCCCTTTCTCCACTTAATAGAAATTCCATGTTTTTCATAGTGTAAGTGTCTGTGCAATCAGAATAAACCAAAACTCATTCAGAAAGCTATAGTAAACCCCAGCACTGAGAAAGGTATCCCCCACATGAGATCAGGCAGCCTTTTAGGAGTCCCCAATTTGCTACACTGCTACTGTATCTGGCTGAAATTCTTCACACGGGCATCTGAGCTGCCAGCGGTTCAGAGCATTGGACACACAGGGTTGGAGAAATCCATATTGGTGGGACAGACCCTGTCGTCAAACTCAGGGCAATCCTTTCAACTCAACTGGAGATATTCTGGATTTATATCTACATGCTGGCAGAGCTCAGCCTATTGCAGCGAAAGATTCTGATCTTTCTTTCATCCCCATGGGATATCGACTTCAGTAAAATACTCCATGCTTCATTTCCCAGTGTTGCAAAACAACTTAATGGATCATACACTTAGGGGAGCGTTTCCTGTCTAACTAGCTAACATCCTACCTCTCGTAGCACCAAAATGTCAGTGCCTTTAGCCTTTTCAAAGCATTTCCTCCAAGAGCCCACAAAGTAAAAAGGCAGCTTGCAGACTTCTTCAGTTAAGTCCAACCTTATGTCATCTTTGAGGGTGGCAGAAGGGTTACACAAAGCCCCCTTCACTTACCTTCCCTCTGAGCACTTAGCCCTCGATGACTGACGTTTTTTGTTTAGTGTGGCCCTGATCCTCTTCTTGCTAGCACAGATATCAAGCACAAAGCTTTGCTATAGCTGACGTCAGTGGCATTTTATCAGCCAAACAGCAGACGAAAGTGCAGGTACAGCTGACAGAGGAGGAAGGTTGTGCGAGCAAAAATATGCATTTGCTGTTACCAAAATGGAACTTATGCTTGTCTATTCGCAGCTACAGTCCTTTAAGGCATTACAGAACCCTGTGATAACCTAGATGTTAGAGACAGTATAATCACTTAGAGACTTAATGCACATAAACACATATAAAATTATTGTTTGCATTATTCCTGCACAGTCTTTGTACCGTATTACTGCATAAATCAGATCTATTTTACTTTCCTTTGCTAACCCTGGTACTCTTTTTGAAGCATCTCAGTGAATGAATATGTATTCCATATCCTTACAGCCTTAAAACCAATTTACTTGTACATTCACGGAAACATCTCCAAGAATTTTTTTGCTACAAAGCATATTATTCAAGACAGAAATGGAGGATTTGATGGCTGAGGATATGATTTCCAACCTGTAAGATGCATGACAAATCTGAGTACAAAGAGGCATGTCAGAGAAGAACAGCAAGTCTTAACAGGAAAACTCAAAGCTTATATATAGGTCCTGCACAATTTTGGTGGCAGCTGCAGTCCTCTGAAGATCATAATCTGTCCTGTCTTGCTCCTGCTGGTACCCAAGAGCATATGGCAGCCTTTGCATGGATGAAACACCACAAGTCATATCCATGCAGAAACCGGGAAAAAAATCAGTGGGATCATTTGGAGCATATGGATCCAACGAGGCTTGAAAGCCTGCCTGAGTGGAGGGGTAAGGCATGCTCAGCTGGTAGCGAATGGCTGTGTTTCTCAGAGAGGATGATCCTGTAAAAAGTGGGATGGAAACTGGTGTCTCCCAGAGGGATAACACTCATGCTAGCTGGAAGTGAAGGCTGCTTTATATTGAGAGGACGAACCAGAGGGAGTATGTGAGATGCTGCCTCAGTATTAAGCTCTAATTTAGCAGCCTCCTGTGGGGAAAAATCTGTGGCAGATTAGGGAGAAGTTGCATGGCAGACAACAGATGTGTTTACAAGTATTTTTCCTTTGATTATTTAGAGGCTTCTTGCAAAGCCACTCATACTTTGGTTTGAACACCACAGCAGACAAACACTGACTTCATAAAAGACTAAAAGGGGTATGAAGCACACGTGGAAGTTTTTCCTGCAAGGCCAAAATCCAATGGCAAAGAAAAAAATAGGTACACAGTTTTTGTTCATGATAACATAGAATCACAGAATCACAGAATTGTAGGGGTTGGAAGGGACCTCCAGAGATCATCGAGACCAACCCCCCTGCCAAACAGACTCCCTACACCAGGTCGCACAGGTAGGCATCCAGGCGAGACGTGAACATCTCCAGAGAAGGAGACTCCAGACCCCTCTGGGCAGCCTGTTCTGTCTGTGTTGGTTATCGTGCACCCAGAAAGCTGTCTTGCAGACAGGTTGCAGCTTTTTGCCATGTTCGTGTCTTTGACTGCATTTAGCATGTAGAACTGATTCTGTATGGGCACGTGGTATAGAGCCACCAGCCCTCACAATACAGAGCAGTTTGACAGTTCTTACTTGCTGCACAAAGGTCAGTCATGGCTCTCTGTACATGTCTATATTTCAATCCTGAACCAGCAGCCTTGCAGATGGATGTAGAGCTCATGTATGGCATGGACACCAGCAGTGCTGGGGAGGAGGGACTCTGTGGTGTCCAAGCGTGATTAGCTTTACTTCCAAAAGGGGAATTCAGAGAGAGAATGCATTGCAGCACTTGGTTCTGGCACTAGCTGTAATGTAGATGTCTGTCTAATGGGCACTGGCCTAAGACCAACAAAATGTGATTCAACAGGCCACTGAGCAGCTTCTCATGTTAATGACTTTTGAATGCCAGTGGCCTGAATTGCATCTGTATTTTATTAACACTGTTTACAGAGGGAGTAGAATTCCAGATGGAGCATAAAGTACCTTTTTTTTTCTTGTTTTTCCCATAATTGCAAATGCTTGAATTGTACTTGTAGCTGTTTTATGACTTGACATTGACCTTATACTCTTTGCATTTTCTACAGCGGAACACTGCAATTTCTAGGGAGTAGAAAGGTTATACAGATCTGGTCAATGCTTGTGTGATGCAAGTAAAAATAAAGTTGTGAGTGTTTAAGCAAGTATTTCTTTCCATTTGGTCTTAGAATTTTTATTGCTTCCAGACAGGTCACTTGAAGTGAAATAGTCCTTCACAGATCAAGCTATGGTTGCCCTACAGATGGCATAAAGACAGTGCTTTAAGGTCATCAGAGCCCTGAAGATGTTAGAGCAATCCAGATGATTTGCATCTCTAAGGGAAAGGCTTTTATTTTTGAACTGTTCACCTAATATTGATTTGAAAATGTACCTTTTTAAAAATTATTTTTGTCATGAAAATGCCTGTCTCAAGAAGTAGAAAAAGCCTCATTTCCAACCTTGATGTGTCACATGTCCAGCAGCTCCCTGACCCGCTGCACTTTGGGTGGCAATGATAGCAAAGAAAGAAAGGAGCACTTTGGGCCTCGGAGCTACCATTGATCTCGGACACGGTGGGGGAAGGAGGTGGATGTCTCAACTCCAGCTCAAGGGACCAGATGCAATGTCTGCTTTACACTGTGCTCTCCGATGGGAAGGCAGCCACTTCCATGGGCAGCTCTGGAGTGGAGGAGACTTTTTTCACCTTCCTCCTTGCTGCTAGTGGGGAATGCTGTGCAGCCTCCTGAATGTCTGAATGCTAACTGTGTGTATTACTGATGCTCCTGCACCATCCACTGCCATGATAGGAGAGGCAGTGCCTCAGCTTCCATCTGCACCTTCTCTTTTAGCAGTGACCTCATGGTGTGAGGGGAAAGGACGCAAATGCAGATCAAAAACTCTTCAAGAATGGCAGCTAGGGGGCTAGCAGCAAACTGCAGCAAACTGTCTAAGCAAACAGCTTAGACACGGCTGTCCTTTCTGATGCGACTGCAGGGAATGTGTGCAGTGCTTCTCAGAAATATTATTCTTCTATGCTAGGTCTACTTTTGCACAACGGGGATACTTGCCTCTGTCAAGCCTGTGGTCGAAATCCGAGATCGGCGTGTGCAGAAGGAGAAGAGTGAACTTCCCGGAGATGCCTTAAGATGTCTCCCTTCCTCGTCTGTTTGGAGATGACAGCAGGTGCCTTCTGCAGGACTGGGCTGCCTGCAGGGTGGGGCTGCGGGGAAGCCAGTCAGTCTCGGAGGGCAATCAAGGATTTCTGAAAACCTTCCAAAGCAAAAGTTAATGGAAAAGAGAGCCTCACCGCTCACAGGTACGTCATTACTTTCTCAGGCATTTATGAGCAAATAAAATGCATCTACTACAGAGGAGAAGAGTTCTTTCCCCATGTCCCACGCCCCGGTCCCTACCTCCAAGCAATTGTCTTACTACAATTTCAACATCTTTGTTCTTTGAAGTACAACCTGTTCCTTAGTTATATTATTTCTGTTCATGCTGTGGAAATAAAAGTTTTGACAGTGCTGATTTCTCAGATCTGCTCGTAGACTTTGAAATTTGCATTAGATTATTCTAATCACTTAGCCTCGTTGTATATATTTACACAAGCACTTTTGATGTTTAAACAGACCAGACTGTAATGAGTTAGGCACGGGGAAATAAATACCCCAAAGAAAAGGAATGTTCTCTTTTTTTTCAGGCCACTTCTTAAACTAGAAACGTTCAGCTAAAACAATGGGTCAGTGCTTTTGGGACCCGAGGGAATGACACTAAGGCTGGAAGCCTTCAGCTGCAGAGGGCAGAGAGAAGAGTGTCTGGGTGCCTGTGAGGGCGAGGAGCATGCCGAGGACTTGTCCTTCTGTGCCCTTCGTCACTGCTGTAAGCTGCATCCCTGGCCGTCCTGGCACAAGAAACTATCCCACATGATCCCCAGATGTCAATATCCATGGACACAAGTTTCTAGAGGCTCAGCAGGAAGAGGATCTGCCAGCTCCACTGATTTCAGTGGAGTTGTACAAACAGCAAAAAGTCCTGGGATTGGTGCAATTGTGCTGTCTCAGCTCCAGACATGCAGGAAGTCCTTCAGCATTGTGATCCTGCAGGCAGGAGGCCTGGGAAGCACAGCAGCCAGGCAATCAGGTTGACTCAGTCTTGAGACTGGCTCCAATAGGTCAAGAACAAGAGGCAAACAAAAGCAGCCCTTACATAGCAAATGTGCAGGAAAATGTGGAGAAATAGACGAGGTGAAGGAGAGAAATCTTATGGACTGAAGAAGACAAGAAATCTTACTGTAAGATGCAGGAAATTGCCAATTGTCTCATTTAGAGTTTAGTTTCACAAAGGCCAAGAGGTCATATTTACATTTGCATGATAGAACACAAAGAATACTTGCAATTCTTGAAATAGCATAAAGGGGGAACATTCTGGATGACCCTGTTGTTAACATAGTCTTGAAGTGGAATCTGGAACAGACCAGCCATTATGCAACAAACCACTCAAAAGACTACAAAAAGCTGTGTGTCAGCACAGTTTTGATTTTTAATGGGAATTAGTGAAGTTTGTAAGAACTTAAAGAAAAAAAGAAAAGAGAAGCTTGTTCCGAAAAGATACACTTCCATAAACTCAGTGACAGATGAGAGCAGACTTTGTAACTCACACACTGAAACTGATCTATCTACTTAGACATGCAAACGTCGTTTTGAATAAGTCCAACTTTTTGAATTGTCAGCGGCGGAAAGAGGTTTCTCTAAAGGCAACTTGATTCTTCATCTCTCCTAAGCTTGTAAACCATGTAGAATAAAGGGGGAAAAAAATTTGAAAGATTCTGCTTTACTGGTATTTGGTGACTGAAAGATTCTGCTTTACTAGGATTTGCTGACTGAAAGAGCTCATTAAGATAATATTTTACACTCTATAACCTCTTCACAAGCAAATATTCCTGGCAGCACTACTATCATACTTCAGGATACTTTAAAGAGGATGGCCAGGACCTTTGCCTGGGACGGAAGAGGAAGAAGCACAAGGCCAGTGCTGGCTGGGCAGGCTCTGAGCACATTTCTCTGCCCTCCATGGGTGCAGCAGCAGTAACACCCCAGGGCTTTCATTCTAGCTGATTTATTTTGTCTTATTCCTAACTTGCAAGTTATATGCCTCGCTGCACTGGTAACTTCATGAGACTGTGACCCAGTTGAGGCATGGTAAGAGGTTAATGGTCCCTCTTCACCTTAAAGGACATGCATTTGTGAAGTGATCAGAAACACTGGGAGATTCGTAACTTTTCTCCTTCACCAGAAGTATGACAAGACATATATAGCACCCACAGTGGGAATCATGTCATTTTCCCTCAGCACTAACTGATTCAGCAGCACCATCCTGACTTACGCCAGCTACTGCTTCAGCTCGTTGTCTGTAGGAGAGAGACAAATGCACTTTGATAGCTATCCAACATGAGCAGAACTCTCCCATGGTGGACAGGTTTGGAATATTCCAGGACTGACAAAATGGGAATTCCTATCAGTTCCAGCCCAAGGTCTCATGGATGTCTTGAGTAGCTTTGCAGCTTCGTTGTGACATTAGACCAATTTTCCATCATGACCAGCATGATCCTACTTGGATATTCCAGATGGTGTCCTGCCCTTTCCTCCTAAGGGATAGCTCATGTCTGACACAGCAAAAGCAGATTTCAATGGTGTTCCTGATTTAAATCCAGAAAACAAGACCTTAAGGAATTCATGCTCCTGACAATCAGTGGAGACTACCAGATTGCTGAACATCAGGGAGGGGAACTGCATTTTCCTTCTCAACTTCTTGTAACCTAAAGGAGTAGGAAGACTGCTTTATGCTTATGGTTGATAGGGTGTATAATGTGCACAGAGAAATCACACTTCACCTTGCAAATTTATCATGCTATTATTGTACAGTTTTTCTACAGTTAAAACCTACAAGTTGCTAAAATTGCTACCACTGTTAAATGCTACTCAGACCTAAAATATGTCTATAGTTATCAAAACTGAGCTGTGAAGCCAGTGGGTATAAGAGACCTAATTGTGAAGCTCTTGCTTCAGGTTACAGGTAGTTGGTAACAGAGAGAAAGAAAGAAATATTTGCATTAGCAGTTCTGATCTAACCAGGACATAGTCAAATTGACAATCATTTTCATGTAAAGACCTAATTAAGCTTTGAGTTCTAGTTCAGTTTTGGGAGGAAGTACTGAAGTCCTTATAACAAGGATTAGAAGATGTAACGAGTGTCTTGAAACAGCTCCTGAAGTCAGGGTTGCTCATCTTTCTTCTTCCTGATGAGAGCAAAGATAATATCTGCACTGATGAGTGAACTGATTGATTTGCTTGAGAAGTTTCCAAAAGCATAAGTACCTTTCCCTGAAGCAACCTAATACGACAAAAAAATCCCTTTCCTCTTAAAAAAAAAAAAACAAAAAAAAAAACCCCACATACAAAATATGCACATTTCAGCACTTTTCCTCCCTGAGATTTTCTCAGTCTAGGAAAAAAAAAAAAAAGAGATGTTTTTTTCCAGTTGCCTGCAAAAGGATTGCATTTCTGCCATGTGGCTGCATCTGACAGTCAAATACTGCTGATGAGAATCATCAGTTCCTTCAAGGACTTGACACTGCATCCAATTTGTTTCGCAAGTGACTGTGTAAGGAGGTGACTGCAGCTATTATTTTGTTAGATTTAGTCAAAACATCCCCAGAAGAGGTAGGAGGGCATGCTGGGAATTGTTTGATGAGCCTGCTGGGAGAATAATTACATGGCCAGCAGTTTGTTCACTTTATCTTCTGTAGCACTTTCTTAGTGCCTTTTGTGTGGTTTCAGTACTCGTTTTTTTGAATTAAAGAATATTTACTGCTATTGTCTCTCAGCTAAGTCCCAGATTATGCTGTCTCAGATGTGCATTCTGGGTTGCTTCTGTGCTATATGAAGAATTATAAAATTTAAATATTTCCTTCAATATTCTCTTTCTTGCTCGAGATGGAATTTTCTGCACCGTAGCTGTGACTGAACTGGGAAGAGCTGCCTTCTGATGATGATGCTTACACAGACCATAGGACCAATTCTCCTGTAATCCTGCTGCTCTGAGCAGGATGAATGTCAAAACTTGCAACTTCAACACAATGTTTTTGGTTTAAAATTGCACGTATGAACATTGATTTTGTTTTTAATGTAACGTGTTACAGCTTAAAGCTTTCAAGAATAGCCTAGGTAGCAGGGAAACTAAGATCTGTTAGAATTTCAGTTTGTTTCAGCAGCTTTTGAAAAAATAAATGGGTATGATCCCCTGGAAGACAGCATGTGCAAGTATTACCAAAATATTAATTCTGAGGTGACAGGAAAATCGAAAGCTATGAAAGGAATCACATTAAAAACTGGAAACTGTGCTTATTCAGCTGTCTACAAGGGGGTCCATGACAGCTGTGGGCACCTTCTATAAGGCAGGAATGCAATAAAAAAGGTGGTAATAGCAAACCTCATCCAGCAATTCACCTGCCAAGAGCAGTCTGATCGCTCCTTTGTAGACCAGTTCTCTTCTCAGCTGTTGTTCCTGATCCAACAGACCTGCCTATGTGCATCCTAAGCCAGCATCAGTTCTCTGATGGGTGCAGTACGTGTGCTTTTTGGCACTTCAGGACAAAATACATGGCTGCACATCACTTGTTTTAAATAAATTGAAGTGAATACAAAAGAAGGAGAAGAGAAAGTAAAGGCTGTAAAAATTACCACATCAGAGCATTTTGCTGCTAGATATATGGATAAAAAATATTGCTTGTGACTCCAGTGAAATGAGCCCACTCTTAGAGAGCCTTCTGCAATCTATCTTGTTTGTGCACTTTGGATTTCAGAAGAACTAACCTTATTGGAATAGAGTTGAAAACATCGGATCATTGGCCAAAGCTTTAAAAAAAAAGGTTTCCTTGCTACAGAAAGAACATTAGCATTCTCACAAAGAAGGTTCCATAGAAACAAGAAATATGTTTTTACAGCAAAACTCCCTTTGATGTGAATCTTGAGCAAAGCACAAAAAAGGGCCAGTGGGATTCTATTTTCTTCTGTGTACGCTTGTGCAATTCCTTTTTTATTTTTTGCTAATGGGCCACCTGGGATGTCTTCTTTCTGGTGACTGAACTAAGGCACCTTAGCAGGGTGGGAGGGATACAAAGGATTCCTCAAAGGAACTCACTTGCTGTAAGCAGCTTCGCAGAGGGAAATATTTCTGTGTCCTTTACCCATCTTTTTGGTTTCTTCACAATGTCTGCTTCACCTTGCAGTTGCACAGCAGAAGTGCAACTTGAATTACCAGCCAGCATCAGCTCCAGCAATCTGCTCCTGACAGAAGCTAGTACTGGAAAAAAATTCAAGAAATTACCTTATTGGCAACAAAGAAATGTCAGGTATATACTGGAAAATATCTCTTTCTTTCCATTCATTAGAAATCGGGCTTAACTCCGAAGTCTGACAGTTTTTATCCTTTTTAAGTGTTCAGTATATTAAGTCGATCCATATCTTTCTGAATACCAAATATATGTCAGAGGTCAATCATTGCTTTGTTTTCCTTACAAGATTATTTTCTCTTACACTTTTATTTCATGATCTTTCAAGCTCACTTTGATTTTCTTTTAAAAAGCCACTACAGCTCAGGATTACATTATTTAAAACTCTAAATTTAATGATTATTGTATCTAACTTCTTTTATATTGATGCAAGGCTCACTGATCTTCAATTTAAAGCGACTGATGAAAGCACTACAAAAATCCTCTAAAAATATTTTGCTAGATAATAGACAGCTTTGGCAGGATTGCAAGTAAAGCTTTTTCTCTTTTTTTTTTGTTGTTGATTTGAGCATTTCGTCCTCAGCCTTCCTCCGAATTCTGCTGTTTTAACACTGTCCAGTTTAGCAGTGTGTTTTAATATCTTTTGTACTTATACCACTACCTGCCTTTACCTCAGTTTTACTGCCTAACAGTCAGACAAAATTTCAGTTACAGCTTTTAATATATTTTAGAACACATCTTTAGAAACTGGGAAACTTTGTATACAAAAACGTGCCTTCAAGTCCATGTTATACGTTCACGTTACTGGCAGTCAGATTTTTGTTTTTAAGCTCACATAGTTGTGAATTATGCCTGTTCCTCCTTTATTCTGTTCAGTATTATCACTACTAAAAAATAACAGGTGGCAGAGTTTGTCCTGACAGAAGGAACATAGTAGGTAGGAATTGTCTAAACACCTTGTCAACTCTTCAAGTCAGCAGTTTCCTAAAATTGTACAAGAATTTCTGTGAGAGAACTGTCTTTTGTAGTAATGCTGCTTCACCTGAACTTTCCTCTCTTCTACAGTCTTTTAGGGTTATTATTGCACTTATCTTTTTTTTAAGCTTGTAGAGTCTATCTCAGAAAGTCAATCTTCAGCTTTCAAAATTAAGTCTAGTATGAAGAAACACTGAGAATTGGAGTTCATAGGGTGCTTTGAGTTCCTGCATTAACTGCATCTAGACGCAGCAATGTATTTTTCTCATCTCTGTAGCCACGAAAATCAGAAACGGAGAGGAAATGAGGAGCAGAACGTTTGGAAGTGCCAGTTCAGACGTTTCAATCAGCGAGTCTTGAAGCTTTGCAGCAGCCCAAACAGGTCAGTGATGTGGCAAGCACTTTCTGCATTACCCATCACTTGCTTGTGTAGATGACAGATGCTTACATGTCTGTGCTTTCTTTATTTAAAAGATTCTTGCAGTCCATCCTGACTCATTATTTCACAAATCTCCCTGCATGAACTGCATTACCTGTTTTCCTTTATATTTTAATGATCTAGAAATGGCAATTCCAAAATACACAGTGGCACGAAGTCTGGAGAAAAACAGCAAAAGACAGAGTTTGGGCAGCATGAGACTCATTGAAATTCTTCTGCATTCTGCTTTTCTGCTGGTCTCTGCACCGCTGCTCACTGAAAAGCAGGCTTTGGTTCAAATCTTAAGGAAACGTTTTTGACATCCAAAAGATAATGTATTTGTTATTTGTTTTCTTCCCATGTCATTTTTGAAAGGTCCAGAGTAATAAAGGAAATACGTAACATCTAAATCCCCTGGTAGTGGAAAAATGCTGTTTGAGCCAAGAGCACTGGAATAAGAACTATGCCCCATGCCAATAGCATTTTGGATGTCAACTGAGATTTGTTTTGCAAGCAGTAAAGCTGGAATCATTTAAATACAGGAAAAACTGTACATGAATCAACCCAAAAAATGCCCCACGGCCTTTTTGCCTTTGTAAACACTATTTCGGAAATGACAACAATATAGTCTCACTGACCTTATGCTTTGTCTTGCTTCCTAGAAAAAAAACCACAAAATCCATGCGGTTCTGTTGGAAACCATGCAAAGAAATCTTAATGATTATTTAAGGTACAAATCCTATGCTAATTTAAGTTTTATTTAAAAAAAAAATAAAACTGTACAAAGGTAAACACCACCAAAACGGAGCCTCATTAACTAACTCAGAGATGGTGATGTTCAACTGAGGTAGAACTTTCACAGCTTTGTCCTTTATTGTTTTCTTGTCTATTCTCCCATCTGCATTGAAACTAGAGGAGTGCAAGCTTTTTCTCCAGATATTTCCAAGAAGCGTGAGGACATGCACAAAGAGGCAGTTGGCCTGGCATGCAGTATGGGAGAAGAAATGGTAGCAAAGGCTGGCTGCAAAACTTAACTTCCCCAAGGAAAACCAACTCATTTATCATCACAGTCTAATACTGATATCAGAGTAGATGAAATCTAGACTCTGCCAGCCTTGTAAATTCTCAGCTGCATGATGTTCAGTGAAACTAAGAGGACAAAAGGGCAAAGGGAAAAAAGAAAATAGCATGCAACTACTGACAATGGATTTTGCTCTTCCTAGCTCAGATGAGATCTCCCCAGCAGGGCTCTATGCAGAGCATCTTACCTGCTCTGCAGAACATGCGGATGCCAGACCTGCTTCTACAGCTTGATGCCACAGGGACTATGTGGGCTGTGCCTGGCAAGCAGTGATGAAGGAGATACAGACTCTCCTTGAAACATTTGGCTCTGTATATTTTATGCTTCCACCTGATATGGGGTGACTCTTCACTGGCTCTGTATTCTCTTCAGCAATATTTGAAGCTCAGCCTAGAAGGATACAGACAACTTTTTTTTCCGTGCAGCTGCTGCTAGAGTGCATGGGAAGGCAACCTGATCAGAATTAGGTAGCCCTGTTCTCCCCAGGGAAGTGCCTGCAAGCATCAGAAGGTAAAGCTGGCATGGAGAGGTGGGATTTTCCACAGGGATTTTCATGGAATTACCTCCATCCATTGCCCAGAATGCAAAGGTGCCAAACTCTTTCTTTCAAAAGCTGCGCAAGAAGAAGTCCTTTTTGACTGGGGGTGGAGAATCACGGTGTGGTGTTCTCATCAATGCCAAGTGAGCTGATGTTCTCGGGATCAAGGAGACCTTGATTTAGTTTTGCCCTCTCTGCCACAGGGCGACTTCAGCCCACATGTTCTCACGTGCTATCCCCGACAGGCAGGTTTTTTCACTGGAAAAGAAAGTGCCAGAGTGAGAAGTCAAGAAAGGGAAACAACTTTTCTGCCTAGGACTCAGGAGACCCTGCAGTAAAACTGTTTTTACTAATATTAAATTATAACCGCATAAACTGAACAGGGAAAAAGAACCAGAAGTCCCTGGAGAAGGGCCTCTAGCAGGCTGAGGAATTACTTCCCTGCTGTTTTTCTTTCTGACAAAGCCAGCTGGGCAATGTTATGAGGATGGCGTGAGGCAGTGTGCGCTGTTGGTTCCCATGCAGTATTTCTCACGCTTTGTGGTCTATAGGGTGCCAATATTCAAAAGCATCCAAATTATGTAAAAATAAAATAAAAAAAAAGGGGAAGATTGCTGTAGGAAAGTGCCAGTTACCCACAGTGGAAACTGAATACCACTAAATCAAACTCATGTTGTGCTGTAACTGTTACACTTCACTTTGATGGGCAACATTTTTATTTGTTTGTTTTGATTTCTATTTACTTTTTTTAGGTAGTAGATTTTTTTTTTTTTCCTAAGGAAAGTAAGGAGAAAACTTACAATAGAAGCCTTATCTGTGTTGATTTCAGTATACGTTAAATGCTGAGTCTCTGTGAAGCTTCCCAAAAGCTATATTTATGTGGTGAGTTACATCAGAAAGCTCTGAATTAGACTGCTTATATGATTAAATGCTGCACTCACTCATAAGCAAAGTGACACTCCTTCATTAAAAAAGCATTTCTAGTGAAATTCTATTATGGAAATTCATTCACATTGGCAAAAAAAAAAAAATCAGATTTGTATTGACATCTGACAAGGATTTGGACAGGTGAATACAGTATTAAAAACTATGCCATCGAAGTCACTACTTTCTCCAGGATAAGGCAATATGCTGCATTCACGGGATGAAATGCCATTCATGTAGCAAAGAGAAATGTGTTTATCAAAGGTCAAACTGAAAGGAAAGGAATGGAAAGATTTCCCACTCACAGGAGGTCCGTTTATTCCACACCATTGCTCACCTCATCGGAGGTAATGAGCTCCATGACAGTTTGGTGGTAGAAAACTGGAGGTTCTTTCAAACAGAAAATTCTGGTATGATAAGAAAAGAAATAGCATAGGAAAATAAAAGCAGTCTAACAATTCTGCATTTAACAAAAACCAATATCTACTATTTCCTTTGAGAAGATACGAACATAGGTCAAGTTAATTCAGACTAAAAATATTAGCAAACGAATTCCCAAATAATAAGCTTGCCAAAATCTCTGTATCAGAAACTAAACTATAAACCCACATCCTTTAATCTGACATAAGTATGAATGTGACCGGATGTGTACTCAGCTCTGTGAGCGTGAGATCTTGCCCCAGTGTGGCAGTTCACCTATAGCCTGGTCCTATAACTGTTGTCTGTGAGTAACAACCATACAAAGAAGGTGTGAAAATGGTGGTTTCAGGTGAAGTGACCTGTGAAGTGTGAAATAAGCTTTACAGAAAGAAATGCCTGCATCAGGAGAGATTATTTTCAGAATTAGTTTCAACACACTCATCTAAGTGTCTGTTTATTGAGATGTTTGTCCTGGCATATTCCAACTTCGGTGTCAAAATCAGGTCCCTCAGCAGAGAGAAAAGGATCCCTCTGCAAGGCAGTCAGGAGTCGAACTTGGGTGGTTTGTATTCTTCTGTACAAAAGATCACCTCTCTTTTAATTAAAAAACAAAAACAAAAGAGAGCTTTGTTCACTGTTTAGACACTATTCATTAGTGTCGAGCTATCTTGTACTAATTACTGCCTAGCCCGATACCTTACAAATATATATATATATGTATACACTAGATAAAACAGACTTTGAAAAGAAGATATGCAATAAGAGAATTTTGTACTGCAGGTTGTAGCTGAAAAGATGTTCATGAAATGGCTTCTCTGTTCTTTACTTCTGACATTCTTGTCAGCTGCACTTCCTAAGGACTTGTGACTGTACGACTGCCTTTGTATTACTGAGTAACATGCCCAGATGCCATTTCCATGACTTCGATTTCTGACAGGATTTATCTTCTTGTGGAAGTTTGCCTATGTAATTTAGGAATGTGATTTCCAAGAAATATTTAGAAAGGAAGGAATGGTGCTTTCATATGGTAGTTCTTTTGAAATGGAAACCAGTTTAGAATAGGTTGCTCTGAGAAAATACAGGCAGTTATGAAGCCCACACAAAAAAGTGGGAGAATTTTAAGAGTAAGTAGAGATTTTAAGCCCTTATCCAGCTCCTACAGGAATATATTTCTTCAATAAAGTAAGAACACCAGATTCTTCCTTTCTTCCTTTCTTCCTTTCTTCCTTTCTTCCTTTCTTTTTTTCCTAAGAGGTTAAAAATGGTCAAGTACATTTGCAAAATATAAAAGCACTGCAAATAAATTATGGGACCTTCAAAAGGACAGTGCTTTTTTTCTCCCACTTTCCCAAAACAGAATACATTCTAAACTTCTTCCTCCTCCCCCAGTTAAGTTCTATATATCTGTCGTATATGAGGCAGAAGTTAAGATAACAGCACAATTCTAAGACATTCTATTTTTATAGCAGAAAAATCTAATAGCTTGAGACATTTTTATTACAGCACTGAATCTCTCCTGTGGTACCAGTCTCTTTCTGCCAGTGGATTGCTGATTTAGGGACGATACAGGTCTTTCCTGCATACTTTAAATCCAAGGTAAAGGAACTTTCAAGATTACTGCTCCAATCTGATATATTTAAGCAAAGCAACAGTGAATTCTTTCTCCCTCTCTTACAGAATCAGTAGAGAATAGGTAATTAAATTGAAGTGTGGTTTTTGATATATTTATGTTACAGTGCTGCTTTTGCTGCATACGCTACAACTGCTGTAGAGGGAAAAGAGCTGCACTTGTTCTATTGGCAGGAGTGCTGCAGAAATAATGGCAAATGGGAAATCTTCTCTCCTACAGAATGCAGAATGTGAATATCAGTAGCTATGGTGCACTTGAGAAATTATGTTCAGATTTTTTCTATGTAATCTCTACAAATCCAAATCCATCTAATGGAGATAAAAAACAATATTCTTATTTTTTACCCAACTGAATCATACAATCATAGAATCAGCAAAGTTGGAAGAGACCTCTAACATCAAGTCTAACCATCAACGCATCACCACCAGCACCAATACTGCCCACTAACCGTGTCCCTCAAAGCCACATCTCCATGTTTCTCGAATACCTAAAGGGACAATGACTCCACCACCTCCCTGGGCAGCCTGTTCCAACAGCTCATCACTCCTTTTGAGAAGAATATTTTCCTAAAATCCAACCTTAATCTCCCCTGGTGTATCTTGAGACCATTACGTCTCATCCTATCACTGTCACCTCCAATCTCCATCTCACCACAACCTCCTTTCAGGTGTTTGTAGAGAGTGATAAGGTCTCCCCTGAGCTCTCTTTTCTGAATCTGGTTGTTGTTCATAAGACTTGTGCTCCAGACCCTTCATCAACATTACTGCCCTTCTCTGGACATGCTCCAGCACCTCAGTGTCTCTCTTGTAGCGAGGGGCCCAAAACTGAACACAGTACTTGATATGAGGCCTCTCCAGTTCTGAGTGCAGAAGGGCTAATTACCTCTCTGGGACTGCTGACTACCTACTTTTCATGAATCCATGCTGACTGGGCCTGATCCTCTGGTTGTCTTGCACATACTTTATGATGTTCTCATGAAGCAAAGCAAAACCTTCAGCAACTTTGAATAGCAGGTTCACTGAAATTATTCTCCCCTGATAAAATTATTTCTGAGAAGCTGAAAAAGAAAAAAAAATTGAGACAGTGAGATCAGTAAGTTTTTGTTCGCCTAGATATTTCTTCCAAGGGAACTCAGTACAAAGACAGTGTCTTGGTATAAAATGAAGCAAGTTTTCACAAGGACTGTGATCGCGGGTATCCTGAGCATGGATTTGGCGATAGGTAATTTAGGATTTTATATGAACTACAAGAATTCCAGGAACATAGATCTGACTTAATATAACGGAGGAAATAAGAAACAAATTGAATTAGCACTTACAGAACAGTAAGTTACATACGTGCGTGTTCACTTTCCTATATCCTCCCCTTAGCAAACACAAGCATTACTAAAAATGCATGACACTATCTGGAAAATCTGAAAAGCTGCCTGCACCTTAGGACTGAAAAATAAATTTCCATCAGTCCTGCTGATAGCACTCAATAAATAAATAAATAAGTAGTCCCACAATCCTCAACAGTGCTGAAGTTGCAGAACAGTAAGACAACCTTATTTTTGCTCTATGGCCTGTTTTGCATTGGTGATGCATACTGCCTGCCTTGGTATCATCCCAGTTTTGTTTTCCCTTAGATGAAAATAAGGGAGCCCAACTGTAGCCTGCCTGATTTGAAGGTAAAAAAAAACCAAGTTATTCTGACACTTCTCTGTTCCTACCTTCATCATTCTGAATCTCTGTCCAGGTGCAATTCAATATGACAGATGTCTTTCCACATGTTTAATGAATAGGTAGTGAGGAAGAAGGAAGTCCCATTTTTGCAGCTGTTGAGTGGCAGACTTATTTAGATATTATGGAAATTATACAGTAACTCATTCTGAGGACACAATTCCATTGGAAAGCTGCTTCTGAAACTTCACATTATTATTAATGAGTTCGATAATAAGTTCTGATCACAGATCAAAGCCATACTCTGTTGAGTTTTGTACACAGATTATTCCTGCTTCACTCATTTCATAAATCACAAATCAACAAATGGTGAAAACAAGAGACAGCAGCACTCAGTAATGTTGGCAGTACTACGGTACACAGCCTGTTATCAGTGCTTTTTCAAGCATTACCACAAAAGGAAATTTTAAAGTAGGATGAAATAATTTTATTCTCTTTTGTAGATGGTAAAACATAATTACTTTATGTAGTAAAACAGAGCCGAAGAAACGAAAAATTGCTGCTTTCCTTCTTGTTGAAACGTTACTAAGTCAGCCACCAGGACCACGGAACACCTAAGTGCATCCAGTTCTATGTATTGCATTTGCAAACTTCAAAGCCAGCAACTGCAATTGCTTTGTGGTGACTCATTCAGCTTACATGTGTGGTGTTGTGCCTAATGATGCTGTCCTACTGTTCTTCCAAGCTCTATCCCTCTCTAAGCAAAAGAAAAGCACTAGGAAGGTATACACAAAGATAGATTTCAATCAGCAGAATAGAACACCCCTGAGGCTCTTGCTCTTTCAGCCTTCTACTCAGAATTAGCAATGGGCTGGTTTAACCCTTTGCATTGTGTCTATGCATTTGTACAAGTATGTTGAGCAGAGATGTATTTAAGATGAGTAAATACAGACATATAATATAGACACAACAAAAGGGAATGGCAAGGGAAGGCTAAGCTAAAAGATCCCAACAAAACCACACATTAAGGTTGTGTACAATTCAGACATTTATCAGTGGTGTGCACACCCACATCTCTCCTTCACAGTTTCAATGTTCTGTTTGTTGGAAGGCTACTTCCTAAGGAGCACATCAGTTGGAGGGCTGCGTTTGCCTGAAGAGGGTAGTGATGGGGACAGTGTTGAAAAGGACTGGACCCTACCAAGAAGAAAATGAAATGGGTGGTGCAGGGCATGTGGGATATCAGCAGGGAAGAAGGAAATTGAATTTCAGGAAGGAAAAAAATAAAAATAAACTTTGCATGCGTCCTCATTTCAGTTTACTGTATGCCCTGCAGCTGGATAAAAACCTCATGCAGGGGAGAGAACACACAGAAAATCTGGGGTGGTTTGGGCTGGTTTCTCTGCATTTGTACCTCTCTTTCTGCGAACTGTGGAAATTCATTTCTGTACCCCTCCTGAATTTTGTGTATCTGGCTGAGGTGGCAGCCCCATTTACATGAAGATGAGACATTTAGGCTCCATATCCTTATTTCCTCCAGTCTTTATCAAAGAAGTGAGAGCCTTTTTTTCTTTTTTCTTTTTTTTTTTCACCACTAGAAACATCAAAACAGCCTGCAAAATTTCCTTTCAGTCTGAAAATAAATAGCAATATAAAATGTTCCTTTTTGTTCTGGTCCCAAGTTGATGCCTGTTATTGTCTTGCTAAGGAAACAAACTGCTAAACCAAACAAAAGCCAAAGGTATCGAACCTTCCTTCCCCAGGGCAGCTCAGTTGTCAGCTCCTTCCTGACTGATGCTCTCCGGTAGAGACAACTGGCTCTGGTGATTGCTGTTCTTCCATTTGACCGTCAGCCTCTGGTGTGGTGTATCCCTTCACCTCCCTTGTGATTTCAAACTGGAGGGGTGAAGGGTCATTTCTTCCACTGTAGGCTGTATATAATAAAGAACACATTATAGAGAGCACAAAAAGTACACTTGGAAAAACTTCAGTTCACATCTACTGTAACCGAAATATCTCTTCTCTACAACTGTAGAAGAGAGTTTAAGCAATTTCCCAAGGTTACAGAGAGATTCTTCCTTTTTTCAGCAAACCTTGATATTAGCTAGAAAAACATAACTCTTATTTTTTTTTTTTTTTAATTTTTTAAAGTGTTTCTTACTGAAATTATCATTATAGCTCACAAGAAAGTCTTTATTCAAATTGTGGCAATTTGTAGGATTCTTGAAGTAAGCTTGGAGATATTGAGTCAATAACTTCACTCATATCAGTGTCACTGATATCAAAGTTGATTTGAAAAGCCAAAGAGTTGTGGGAGTTTTTGCTTTTTGCAATGAGATAAAAAAAAGAATAACAACTGAGAAACACAGTTTAGGCAGTCTTATGTTTTAAGTTCTTGAATAAAAATCTTTCAGCTTATCTGGCCTAAGACAGAACCATATAAAAATACTGTGCAAGCTGGGAGGACTTCTAAGCTGATATAACGTTATCATAGGAACAAGGGAGTGAAACAAAAGTTGCAAAAGCTTGTAGGGTCCAGCAGATGAACTAATTTTGACAAGAAGAGGAACCAAAGCAGAGGAAACTGAAATAATCAGATTAGATGTATTGCAAAAATTTCTAAATAATGACAGGCATGAAAATGCTCATTCATTTTCTAAGAGAAGTAACCTGAATCGCAAAAAGCAGCATTTTCCTTAACAAACACAGCTGGCAAGGGAAGCATCAACCTGTTCTACACAGATCCAATTCATTCTTCCTGCAAACTGCCTTGAAAATCCAGCCCATTTTTCTTTAGTAAAGCTGTGGTTTGGTTCAGGTCTTCATTGTTCTACATGTTCACAGCTGAAGCTTCCTCTTTCTGGTTTCAACATTGCTCTCCCTGCAAAACTATTTGATACAATGCAGTAAAAAATATCTTGCTGACTTATCACTTCCATTATGTTTTCACTTGGTCTTCATCCTTTGTGTACTGCTTTCTTCTCCTGCTGCAACCCACAAGCTCTGTACCTTGCATTGCTCACTTCTCTCAAAGCACACCCTGGTCTGTACTTGCAGCTGACCAATAAGCACCAGCTGCTAGTGCACTCCCAGCACAGCTCGTTCCTCTTTTATAGTGATCCTTTTGCAGAGGCAAAGCTTCCCCTAAAGAAAATCTGCAAAGTAACTTCAGCTGCCTTCTTCAGATTTACTGCAGCCTTCCTATGTACATAACACCCGATAGTGACTCATTACCCCTCTTCTGTTGCTACTTCCTTCTTGCTTATTCTAAACTCTTAAGCTCAACTGGACTCTGCCTTCAGCTTTGCACATGCTCATTTTCTTATCACATACTCAGGTGCAAGGTGAGGTCTGTGCTTTTTTTCCTAAGTACGTCACAACTCTAGAAACACTCCATTACAAGAAGAGAGATTAAGCTTCTCAGTTCATGTGAAGCCTGAGACATACATTTATGAAACCCAGCTTCTTCATGTGCTGCAGACAGTGTCAAGCCTCTGAGCCAGCTCTCTCAAGGAGGTGAGGCAAGGACTGCTGAGATAAACATTTACGAAGAGCTCTGCTGTTATATGAGAAATAAATAAAGTCCATAAAAGAACCAGTGACAAAAGAGCAACTGTGCCGCATTACAATCCACTTTATTAGGTGACATGCCCAAGGTTTGATTCCTCTGACTGCCTCCAATCATCAGCTGCAAAAACACTGCCCAGGTGCCCAGGTGTTGCAGGGTTTGTTGAAGTGAGAATCTGCTCTTAAGGAAAATGAAAAATTGTCATGAAACAAAATCAGGAGAAATAAATTGTTGTGCACGAAATAGAGTCAGTATACCTGGTTTTCTTCTCAGAGCCAAACTGTAGCATTGTCCATGAAGCACACTTGTGCTGTAGGTCTGACAGCAAGAGGAAGGAGGACTTCTGGAGGACAGGAATAACAGGAATTCTGGGTACTCAGTTCTTCAATTTGCAGTCTTCAATCCTTTGGGGCACACATTAAGGGCCAGCTGTTGATATGTAGGAAAGTCTGCCATCACGTGAAAGTTTTCACATAACCATAAAATTCCAGAGTTTTAGCTTTAGCCATTCTGAGCACACACATGTAGAATCATAGAATCCTTAGAGTTGGAAGGGACCTCTGAAGGCCATCTGGTCCAACCCCTCTGCAACATACAGGGATGTAGAGCCATACTTTGTAAAGAAAGGAAGAAATAAGCGGAGGAAAAGAAAGTAGAAAAAGTCAAAAAAGACAAGAGGAGTAGTGGAGCAGAAAACTGTACAAAAAATGAAGATTTGTAAGTAAGAACAGGAAGTCCAGCAAGAAAGGACTCAGTCATCGGGCACCCGAGGTTACTTCAATCTCTGCTCAGAGCTCCTTCCAGACTGAACAGAAACGATGGCAGAAGGCACTCCTCCATGTTCACCAACTGCTTAAGAGTGGGAGATGCACTCTACGCAGGCTTGGCAGAGGCCACAATCTTCAGCCCAGAACATTTGCAGATCCAATTCACTGCACAGTGACATGCTACTGACAGTCAACAGCAAGAAAACCATTTACTTCACAGATTAGCTGTGGAAAATAGGAATGACTGTCCAGGACCCAATGGCCTGTAACAAAAGCAACTTCACTTTTCATTACTGGGCTCTTTCCTTGAGTAATTAATCTTTTCAGAAGACAGGGGGCCCTTACATTTATCTCCTCTTGTCTCTGTGGAACAGTCTTTCACCAGGTGAGCAGTCCAAGACACCTGCAGGAGTGTTACCTCTCAGAGCAAACAGGGGCAGCAGAAATGAGGCCTCGGAGTCTGAATTCTGTCTGAATGCTGAGGAGCCATTTCGTTCACAGTGGTCTCCATTTCCTGACACTTATTTAGCACCGTCATTATACTGCAGTGTTAGAATTGGAATATCATTTCAGGAAAACTGAAGCCACTTGTGAAAGAAAAACATAAATTGCAATAAAGAAGTCAACGTGAAAAATGTGTTGGGAATAACATAGAAACATTTGTTTCTAATACAAATACAGGTTTAAAAGAAAACTGTCACGCAGAGAAATCAAACTGTGAGAAAACTGATAAAAGAAAAATGTGTACTGAGGAAGAATGAGGACCTTATAATGTGACATGCTCAGAAAGTATATATTCTAATTACACTTTCATAGCAGTGAATTTTTTTAAGACATTTGTTAACTAACTACAAGAAGTTTTCCCAAGAATCTGATCCAGTGATTATCAACTCCTACTAATCTGCTGCTTTCAACAATCCCAATATCAAAGCACAGCACTATGGCACTCTGTGGAACTGGCCAAGTGATGTGAACAAGTACAGTATGGAATAGAACTTTCTTATAGATTTTTCCCACATTCTGTCTTATCATTTTTTCCTTTCAGTAGGCATTTCTGAAGATGCCTTTTTCTTTCTCTGGAAATAAGCAATAATATGTGTAAATTTTCCATAGGTTTTACCGACGGATGTTTCAAGCCTTTTAAAACTAGATAAGCAAATAAATAAATATTTCTTTGAGAAGTACAGTCTTCTCCTTCATTCTGTTAAAAGCTGGGAGCCTTGGAAAACATGGCTGAACACCCAGGGTCTAGTTAGTGCAATCACTTACATTGTCAGAGCAGGTTATGACAGTGATGCTCTAAGCATCATCTGAGCATCACAGAAAGCATCCACCTGTGCTTTGTACTGCAGTCCAAGGAGCAGCTAACAGCAGCTCACCAGCTCATGCAGAACTGCCTGAGGCACAGCTCGACAAACTACAGGCAGGATGGGTCAAGCGGCAATGCCTGGGTGCACAACACTGTCCCCAGGTGGATTTTGAGTGTTGAGCTCTGTAGCAGGTAAATTTACCCCTTTCTGCTCCATGGGGAGCAGAATCTGTAGCTGTGCTTTTGAAATGTTCCACAAAAAGTAAGGTTTGAGTAAACTGTCACTGAGGTCAAGACCACCTTTAGTCACCATTTCAGTTAGCTAGGGAAGGCCTCCAGAAAACTCTTTGCTGCATGACCCAGACCAAGGACTCCAGCATTAATGGCATTTAGTCCCTCTTTTAAACCTTTAGTACCTTGAAAGTCTGCAACGACCCTAACATTTCCTTGCATTCTTTTCTCAAAATCAGTGCTTTTTTTCTTTTTTAAACATCTGAACTGCAGAAAAGACTCCATTTTGAGACTACAATTAATTTGGTGTTTTGGTACAAGAAGATATAACACATCTCTGTATACAACGCTGTATTGTTTAATTCTGTGAATAGCCAAAAGGCAGAACAGCAGTAAAAAAGATCAGCTATCAGCTTCACACCTGCTTGTGGCATAAAGTGCTCGAATGGAGCCCTTCTGTGCTCCACAAGAAATTGTTTCTTTTCTCACACTTCGTTATTTAGTCTGTCACTACGGACAGGTGTCTAAATAGTTCAGTTGCACTTTCATGTGGTATAACCCATGCTCTCTAAGCTGTCCCCTGCAGCTATTCAGGAGGTTGTTAAGGGATATGATCATTAATAAAAGAGTGTCAGTTTCATACAAGACTAAACACTGGAGAATGTAAAGATGTGGGGACTGCCTGAGAATCTTCCCTGATCCAATTAGCACAACAGCAGGTGATGGCAGAGATTAAATTGAAGAATATAACTTCTGTCCAACTTACTACTCACCACACTGATCATGGCTATGGCCTGATAGACAAATTAGCTGACTTACAGAAACACAAACAGGAATTCAGTGGCTCAAGAAGAGTCTAGAAGAGTGTTCTGCCTTGCATACCACCAGAAGAAACCTCAGTATCCCAGGCTTGCACTATTCTTTGCAGCACTCCATGCAGAAAGGACTGAAAATCAGCAAATAGCCTGGGGAGAACTAAACGGCCTCTTCGATTTGCTTGGGACATAGGTTTTCACTGTCTGTTCTTGCTTTGGCTGGGATAGACTTAATTTTCTTCCTAGTAGCTGGTATGGAGCTGTGTTTTGAAGTTAGGATGAGAATAACGCTGATAACAGCGTTGCATGGCAGTTTGTATATTGAGTCAAGGACTTCTTAGCTTCTTGCACTGCCCTGACAGCAAGGAGCTGGGTGTGCAGAAGAAGCTGGGAGGTGATTGAATGAGGACAGCCAAAATTGGGCAGAAGGATATCTCATACTGTGTGGCACCATGTAGAACAACAAAACTGGCCAGGGGAATTGCTGCTGCTTGGAGACTGTCAGAGCACTGATCAATTGCATTATGCATCACTTGATTTTTTTGTTCTTGTTGTTGCTTTCTTTATTATTTCCTCTCTTTATTAAACTGTATTTACTCCAATTCATGAGTTCTTGCACTTGGAATTTCCACTGTGGGTGAACAGCTGTGTGGTATTTAGCTGTCTGCCAAGTTAAGCCACAACGGTGTCTTAGGAGAATTCAAAGTTGTACTGGCAGACAAGACAACTGTCACAGACAGAATTTTTTTTAACTGTTTGTACTGGCAGATCCATCATAAAAAGTTCCTTTTCTTCGCAGCACACAGATCTATTCTGGATCCAGAGTAAAGAGAGTTGGGAAGAGACTGAGACAAGTCCATCCCTAAACAAAAGGAGATACATCGTATACACTGCTCTTATCTCTATATACAGAGAGTATCCTACTCTCTTGTCACAAGAACAGCTTTCAAATGAGGCCATACTTTCTGAATATTTAAGTCATGTACTGAGTGCATGTTTGGATGGATTTCTGTTCCTTGGAGTGCCCAGGGAAAAACAGATACGTGGCTCTGTAAGAGACAGCTTAGCTGAATATGCAGCTGGGATTTTGGGCAGCTTTCCAACTTTGTCCTGTGATGGCTCCCTTTCTACTACAGTCAGTGGGACTCACTCAGACGACCTTTTTTGATACTGCCTCACAGCGTCTGAACTGCACTGAAAGAAACAAAATAGCTCTGTCTACTGAAGAAGTAGACCAAATCAATTTGAAAGCACAAACAAGTTACAAGCAGGTGTGCAATAAAATAACACTTAATATTTAGCCCAGTACTTAATACATAGCCCAAATTATAGGTTGTATGAGATTAAGAGAACAGAGTGGCTACATCCCAAAGATTCAAACATCTCTTCTTACCACTTTGGTGCCTGCTAAACAGAGGAGAAGATAGTGAAGGAATGGTGCCTGAATTCTCATTCTGCAGTGACATTCAAATTGTATCACTTTTCAATAATATCAAAAAAATAATGGCTAGCCCACTCCACCAACAGAGAAGGTTGTACTGTACCATTTTGCCTTTTTTTCTTTAAAACAAACAACTTCCTCCCAAAATAACCCACAGTTCCCCAGACTGAGCTTTTATGAGTGGTAGTCCCAGCAATGATGGCAATACATCAGAAAAACAACATTTTCTCCTCAAAGGACAATGGTCAGAGATATTTACTCTAGGGAAATAAAGTTCTTTGCTTTTGTAACAGATCTGGCAGCACATAGTCAAAAGAGAACTGTGTAATGTAGGAATAAGAAATGGACATGCTTAAGCAATCTTGCTTGCTCTCAGTCTCAGTCTAACGTATCTACAATGTGCTGCAGTGAGAAAATCTTAACAAGAGTGTAGCATTCTCAAGATTTGGGGTGACACTTTACCTTCAAACAGAAGCAGTCAAAAGTAAAAAACATTAAAAACAAAACACAGCGCCACAGAAGTGACAGCCATTTCCCAGATGCCAAAGCCAGAAGACTGCTGGCTAAGGCTGAATTAAGAAGATGCTAATTGTGTGGGCTCAAAGATTTTTGCAATTCTCCAGCTTCCCGATATGATAATATGATAATAATGGGTCAGGAGAAATGAATAGCCATACCTACAGCATGAGTTCTACTGAAAGCTCAAGTGCATTTGCTATTAATTATTTGTCACTGCAGGTTCACCATCATTAATGCCAGGGCTATGCATGATCACTCAGCAGCACTCATTTGGTTTAGATCAGCTGCAGTATTTTTGGCACATTAGCCAGAGCATATATTACAGAATGCTTATTATTCTGGTTTTGTGGGAATGAGTAATATCTGATCTGACATAAAGCATGCTAGTACAACATCAATCTGTTAAATCTACTGCTTTTAAACGAATCTGGATTACCTCTGTGAGTTTACACCGGATCATTGTTGCCAGAACTTCTCTTATCCCGTCCTTAAAATTATGAAGTTGGGTTTACAATAGAGTCAACAGATGGCCTCAGCTGAACTCTTAAAAATGAATCTGCTTAATGCATTGCACACCACCTGCTACCATGCCAGTAACTGCATCAGTAAAGAAGTATGGTCCAGTGTCAGCTGGAATTTTCCTAGACCCTATTCCTCTTTCTTCACCAGTAGGCAATATCCAGAAGGGTGAAAAAGGATGAGCATAAGATTAAACCCATTAGTGATATTCTTAGAGCACTTAATTTCCATCCTTGGACTTATTTAGATGCTATTTGTGGTGCACACTTTTTTTTCCAGCAAGGTCTGCTGAGATGAAACATGTACACAGGCTAAAGCTAAAAGAGATCCAGTGGAAAACAGAGACACAGTTTGAGGCAGCAAATGTTGGGGGCCAGGAAATATTCAGCAAAAACAACATGCCACATAGGAAGATAAATATGCAGCTGAGAGGCAATGATACAAGAGTTACAGCAGATAGGAAGAAAACAGCAGATCTAGAAACCAGTACCACAGCTACTTCAGGAAAAGCAAACAGTAATTCATGTCAAGAAGCAATGCTAATGAAGGGGTGGTTGTTTGTAGTGTTACAAATGCTTGCAAAGTTTCTCAGTTCACATGATCGTAAGCTACAGAAGCTGGCTGCCACCCTTGTAGCCAGGCTGTATAAATAATGAAGAGCTGATTGCAGCTGGCACAGAATCTTGGGATCATTGATAAAGCAGTAGTATTAGACTCAGTTATTAGAGGAAAGAATTAGCCTCATTTTGAAGCTAAAGAGCAAACCCAGTTTCGAATAAGAAAATTTAAAAAAAGCAAGTAGTGCCATTTGAAACATTATGGATAATGTAGAGAATATCAAACATGAATGGCCAGCCAGCATGGCAGGGAAAACTAGGCTTGAATAGTGAATTATGTATCACATTTCTTTTCAAAGACCAGGTGGAGAAAAACAGTAATCAGAAAGTTTCCCAATGCTCTCAAAGTAGATTTCTTTCTAAATAGTATCTATAATTTCAAGAAAAGGGTCTCCAGGACAGCAAATAGAGTTTAGAAGCAGAAGCTCTGTGTTTATCAGTCCATCTCAGCCTGCCCAAGCACAGGATTTACGACACTGAAGTTGGTTAAACCCAAAGCCACTGCACAGAGCACTGTAAATAACAGAGGACACTAAACCTGCCCAAACAAGCCTTCCTACTTTATATACCCGGGCCTTTTGTGATATGAGGCAGGGTTTCTACAGTGACAAAGGGTACAAATCAAACATTCAAACCTTTATCACATCCCCAGGTACAATTGTTAATGGAAGGCAGGACCTTTGCTGCCTGCCAAGGGATTCTATGTCAACTGAATGGGATCCAGACAGGCTCATTGTCTTAAACATCATGACTCCCCACCTAAAATACAAGAGATTGAAAAAGAAGGCATCGTGGTGTGACAAAAATGTCCTGGAAAATCGATTATTAAACAAAATGTTTACATGCCGTAGCTGAGGAGAACCGAAGTCTCCTAAACCTTTGGTTATCCTTTGAGGAACTAAGAATCATTAAAGGCATACTCACAAAATTCCAGCTTCTGCGTTAGACTCCTGGAACTTGTGAAGCTTTAAAAAAATTGGATTGTAATGAGTCTAACTGTTCTCACAGCAACCAATAACTGAAACCTGAAAAACAAAGTAGAAAAGTTGTGAATTACACATAAATTTTGAAGTATTACATCCTTTCAGAGTCCTTACAGCAACGGTTTCTTGCCCCAAAAGGCATCCTGGGAAGAGCTGAACTGATGTAAAACTAATGCTCTATAAGATAAGTCAGAAGATACAAATGTGCATGTATTAAAAAATAAGGATATTTTGTACTCTTGGGCATGGAGCAAATCAGTACACTGAATTGACAGTATGCACATTGACAGATGATGCACTGAATATGCATACACAGATTAATTGTAATATTGATTGGACATATCCTCATTAACTAGCAGCTCCATAGCTTTCATGATGCAAAAGCATGCACTTGGATTAACACTTACCTGCATCTGCTTGTACAACAGGCTACCAGCCTGCTGCTATTTTGGGAGAGGGATGTGTAGAAACTGCAATTGCCTCCATGGGTTGCCTCAGAAAGGAAAAGTCTTACAAAATAGCCATGTTTCAGTTATTATTATGTGTTATTCTGCTTGTCTGTTTTCCTGTTTTTCTTTTTTTTCGTACCAAGATATTATTTGAGCCAATTGGCTCCCTTTTACATGTTGAAAATTTAACTCACTGCACACGAGGAAAGTAAGTTTAATACTACAAAGCTTATGGGTGTAAGGTTTCCAATTGATTTTGTGATTGAGAACTGACTTATTGGTCCCAGTGAAAAATTCATCTGTGGTTCAGCAGTGACTCATTTAATTTTTTTACTAGTCACTGTCGTTGCCAGTCCAGTCATGAAAGAATGTTTCTTGGCTTGAGTTGGAAGGGACCTTCTTCAAACATCAGTTTTCCACATCCTATGAAGCAATAAGAAGTCATTTCCCAACACAAGAGCAGGGCTATGTATGTGTCAATGATATGACAAAGAAAGTCAGGATCCTATGCAGAACCTTCCACAAAACGTCCATCCCAGCAAGGAAAGGTATAAACGGTTCAAGCAAAACAAAACAAAACAAAGCAAAACCACACTGCACAACAAAGAGACTGCAAAGGCAGAGGCAACAGAGTGTGGAAAAAAAGGAGTGAAGATTCAGAGGAAACTTCAAGAAATTATACCTTACTAAAAACTCTATCTGAAGCACCGTGGGAACTAGGTATGTAGTACACAATGGACTCATACATTCGTTCAGATCACCTGCACAAATTCTGCATATATACAGCACACACAAGGGTATCAGTTTTGTGTAAATATATTCCCTTCTGTTTTCCCTATTTGTTTTATCTTCCAATTTTAGTCAAGAGTAGTGGATAACAAAATGGACAATGGAATAAATGAAATACAGATATTTAAAGCATCCCAAGCCAGCAAATTAAACAAAGTAATTTGCTGAATTCCTTCTGAACTTCGTGCAAACCTGTACAGAAAACATTCTTCATTGCTAATCAAGGAATGTTGCATATGAACTAGAGTAATCGTTTATAACACAAAGCAAACAGTGCCTGTAAAGCTTGGGATCATTTTAGCTTTTTTTATGCATCTTAAAAGAAAGTGGATTGGCCTTCAGTTGTGAAGTCTATGAGCAAAATTTTAAATATGCCTTATCTCAGTTACAGCTTTGGAAGTGTAGCTAAATACACTGCAAGTGGACAAAAAATATATAACTTTGCCTTTGTAACAGGACTCTCAGGGGTCTCTAAGCGTTAGACTGTGAGTTAGCAACATCTGGAAAACATTAGGGAAATGCCCTAGGAAAAGGCTACCTCTCTGAATCGCTTAATTTTCAATGAACGCACAAAAGACTCAATGACTGCAAGAATCCAGCTTCAGTATCTGTGTTCCTCTTACATAATTTAGTCTGCTGCCAGTTTCTGAAGGTTATCTTAAAATGAAGATCCTTTCAGAGGAAACATTCAAATATCTCAGAGCTTTAAGGAAATACACTGCAGACCCTCCCTTGGACAGTGCTAATCAAAAACAAAAATACAATTAGGAAGGAGTTTGTTGAGATATCGAATATAAAGCACAATAGATTGCAGAATGTTCCAGTTCAGAAAAATAAAACAATCTACTTCGATTTTTTCACTGAATAACAAGATAAATCAATTTTTCACTGAAGAGAATATATATATTTCTAATAAACAAACAAACAAACAAACACAACAAACCAATGGACAAACAGTTTTGAAAGCTTGGTTCTTTGTCAGGTTTTATCTGGAACAAGATTAAGGAGATGATTAGAGATCTGTAGGGCTGAGAAATTAGGAGTCCTGTTGTTGTTATGAGTCAATGAATGTTAACATTGTTAAGGAATCACAGTGTAATAGAATGCCTTGGTTTGGAAGAGGTCTTAAAGATCATCTAGTTCCAAAGCCCCTGCTGTTGGCAGGGTTACCACCCACTAGATCAGGCTGCCAGGGTCCCATCAAACTTGGAAGATAAATAGCACAATACAATTTTAAGTAATCAGCAGCTAGGCTTCTTACTTTGAAGGAGACAAATCTTTGAGCAATGTGGTTTTCCCTCTTAGAGATGACTTCTTACTGAGACACCTAAACAGTTTTGACATCCACATTATTGCCAAATTCTAAAGATGGTTAAGGACATGATAGATATGACTGCGACAGAGCTGTTTTGCCAAGCAGCAAAAATTTGCAGAAAAGTCTTAGACTGCTTCCACTTGTTTTCTTTCTTTTTTTTTCTTTTTTTTTTGGTGTGGGGGGGGAGGGATGTTGTATTAGGGATCACTCTAGTAGCCTTTGAAAGACATAAAAGATTGGTGTAAATTCAAGCTTCTTAGAGTAGATTTCCTGCAGAAATGAATATTTTATGTATATATATATATATTTCCCTCTGGGTTCTTTCTTCAAACAAGAAGCAAGCAAGCAACATTTCACTGATTGGGAAAAAAAAATCTTATTTTCCATGTCTGTGCCCTGAAAGAAAAAAAAAAGTAGATGAAAGTATGGTGTTGATACTTCAATAAGTAACAATCAACAAAGTGGCATACTGAAGTAGTAGTTGCGAGATAGCAATGCACAGCTCAAGAAAAAACAGAAAGGTAATTCTATTTCCTTCACATCACCAGAAAGTCTATAAGAATTGGTAAGGACCCGGTGGCAGCAGACCACCAGACATACTAGTTTGTCAAGGAACAAAGCTCTCATAGTGTGATGGGCAAAAAAAAGCATGAAATTCTTATATAGAACGTTTTAGTCTTCAAAAAAGGCAGGCATCTGATCAAACTTCTAACTATTAATTAGTTGTCAAGCAATTTCACTACTTCTACTATATTCAGATCATATTATGACTAATTTCAGCCTAATACCATCTGCAAGGCAGCCTGAATACTTCACTTCCATTCTGGCCTGTACAGCAACAGATTACTCATTAAATAGCATAATGATCTGCAAAGAATATTGTGGAAAACCAACTTAGTACTGGTTCGTCGGAGGTCATTAGAGAATGACATTTGCTTCTGCAGATGCACTGAAATCAGCTGGGTTGCTAACACTAGCCAAAGATCTGGTTTTGTGTGTTTGGGCTAATCTCTCCTTAATCACTCCCACATAGATTAAAGTTTGTATTTAGTTTTCACAGTAGAAGTAAAAGAGAAGCTATCACTGGTAATAACAATTCTACTCACATATTGGATCAGGTTCATTCCTGAAATAATTTCAGTTGAAGTTGTTCAGACTAATATATGCAATAATTTAATCCACTAGATTTGCCCATTGCATTCTATCTTGGGTTGTCCTTATATTCTCACTAGCCAGCAACAGATGTAACACACTGTAAGGAAAAGAGTTGCTAATAGCAGTGATGTTACCCAAGTGAAAACACATGCTAACTAAATTATAATACGTGCAAGAAAGTATGTTGACAACTGCAACAATTAACATAGTAACATGGCATTCTTGTATTGCCATGTCTGACAGTACAAAGCAGAAGAAGCAACTAGAAATCTAAAGGAAAACTGAAGATGCCATCCCTGTAGAGAAAATCTACAGAACAATCCACATCATTTTACATTAAAAGCGCACAAAAATATATAGAAAATTCCATCAGTTACCTCATATCAACACTTTTTCTCATATGCAATGAGAAAAATACTCAAACCTCACCTCATCCATCTGAATACAGCTGAGTAAGAACTCTGATCTGAAGGATGAATGAACCTTTGAACAAGTCATTGGAGAAAGGCAGAAAAACTTATAGTGACACAAAAGATGAACTGCCACTCCATGCACATCTTTCACTGCCCTATTCTACCCTAAAGTAAAAATTTAGTGAAAAAAAACCTTAGAGTTACAATCTACAATCTAAAAAGAAACATCATATTGTGCAGGAATTTCACTCACAAACTCCTCTCACTGCTCTTAAGTAAATTTTAGATACTTGGCTGTCCTGATTGCCAGCAGCAAATTTTCTTTAGGTTACCATACATCAGACCATTATGAGGCAAAACCACTTCCAGTTGGTCAACACATTTCCTGCAGTAAAAGCTACAAAGGAACCAAATAGTTACGCAAGTCATCCTGTGCATCAAGTCCTCATAAGAATTACCTTTGTGGAGTCAAAGAACACACGCTAAACTGAGCTCATCCAGGCAATGGACATCAGATCCTACCACAGTTTATTTGCACTGTTTTCATGAAGCGATGGTATTATGTGTGACTAGTCAGCTCTTGGGCAACCTGCAAACAAACGATAGAATCAAGGTGGGGGTTACACTCAATAGCCCTTTTCTAGAATAAGTGTAGCACAGCTAAGAGATGCTGACTTTCCAGGACAATACGATTTTCCCCATTCCCTCTCCCTGTCAGCTTCCCATTGTGCTATTGCTGATTATTACTCTCTCTTTACCTCACAGAATGAAGCATTCTAGGAGATTCCTTTGTTTCTATGAAGTCACATTTACTCCCCCCCCAGTTCTCCCTGGTCAAGGCTTATTTTTTTGCTTTTTTTTGCTTTTTTTTTTTTCCTTCTACAGTAGGTCAACACGTAAAAGAAACAGGTTCTATCCACT